TTTTTTTTTAAGTAATAAAAATTTTTGAAAAACACGTTGTTTTTTTGTTTTTGCAAGTCCAAATATCTACTTTACTAAAAAAGCAGCAATTAAATCGATGTGTATTATCCCTGGGTCTGAAGAGGATAAGCGATTTTAACATATCCAGCGATTATTTCAAAGTTTCTGGAATCGATGGAATCTGGAGTACTTTCATAGTCTTCAAGAACGGTCCAAGTGGAAGTTCAAGAAGAATAATCCCTCCTTGCTCGGTTCGCTGGTCTTGCTCAAGGAGGAAGCTGTTCAACCACTACATTGGCCCATGGCACGAATTATTGCTGTCTACGGTGTCCTGGTGACGACGGTGCAGTGCGAGTAGTTACATTGAAAACACAATTCCATTAATTGAAACACAGTTCCATTAACCGGTTGTGCTTGTTGCCAATTCAGTACAAGTACCCGTTTATGAGTTCTATTTATGAATTTGTTCAGTATTTGTTCTTCCATTTATGTCAATTGTGTTTGATTTCTTAATTAAATAATCTTTAATGTTATATTGATAAAAGTTCAATGTTATGTTGAAAGCTGTAAGCTTTCAAAGGCGGCGGTATGTATCGGTGTTGCCACATAGCTGTAGGACCGTTAATTGTTACGTAACATCGAAAGACAAAGGACGAGATTACGTCAATGGTCTTGAGCTTGTCTGTCAGATGATCGCTTCTCGTTCTCGTCCTCTACACACAATATTTTTATAATTTCTAATAACAGAAGTCATTAGTTAACTTCAAAGAGGAATAAACTTAAATTAAGTACAAACATTGGAGGTTTAATAACGTTAATTGCGCATTGCGCTCAAGTAAAAATAATAGCAAATCTACATTGGTACAACACAAGTAATGTATGGGTATTCCGAATAGAAAATTTACAGAACCTGTTCGGTTTACCAAAACTTCCGGATTACAAAGTTCATAATAATTGATATCTATAATTCGAACACGTTCGTCCAGATAGAATTTGACATTCCATGAACATCCCAGAATGTTGGAAAAAATATAGATAACATTGCGGGAATATACATGGGTGAACATTCCTAACATGAATGTTCGTGGAATATACATGTATGTATATTCATCAAAGCTACTTATATAATACATACAAAGTTATAATTCAATTACGCATTTAACAATTTAATAAAACGTTCTTAAGTAATAGTTACAGACTGCTTTAGTAGCAGATAAGGCACTGGTTGCACTGATCCTTTCACACATTTCCATCTCTTTAATTAAGCACACCATTGATCGTTTTTGCGAAGGCTTCGGCCATCATTAAAGGTGTGGGTCCACATCGGTTTTTCCGAATTTGAAAATCTTTCCGATGAAGCAGCTTTACTGCTTGCTTATTTCCAGATGCTGCTGCTTTATGCAGAGGAAGGTCACCATTATAAGTCACTACATCAACTGCAGCGCCTTGCTCTAACAATACTGCAACTGCGTCTCCACATTCTTCCCTATCAGCTGCCATATGCAACGGAGTGGCATTCTTACGTATGTCAATATTGGCGTTGTTTTCGATCAGGATTTTAATTATATCACAGTAGTTTCTTCCCGCTGCTGAGTGTAATGGAGAGATTCCGTTCCGGTCTAGTTGGTTAAGGTTGATATCCAGAGTGACCAACCGCCTGCATGCTTCTCTTTGGTTTTTTGCCAACGCCAAATGAACTAGATTTTTATTAAAAGGGTTTGTCGTCTTGTAATCAGCACCGTACTCTAGAAGGAGATCCATAATTTCGACGAATCCGCTTTGGACTGCATACGTTAATGGCGTATCTCCACGTAGTGTTTTGTCATTTGCAGACAATCCGTACTCAAGATAAAAGTTTACAAGTTCCGAATTTCTAGCTTGAACGGCCAGATGCAACAATGTTTCCCCGAGGTTATTTCTGATCTTAATATGAGCTCCTCGACTTAATAAATATACAACTAAATCCGGACTATCTGCAACGCTCAAAAGTGGCGATATTCGTATATCATTAATATCCATTTTGCCGTACTGGTTTATTGGGATCTTAATGATAGGACTTCTTGCACTCGCGACGTCTGGTAAGGCCTTCAGAACCAGTACCTTCGAGGTAGTTTTGGTATTTCCTACAACACAAAAAAAATATTGTTGAGATTTTCTTAGTAACGTGAAAGAAGATTTATCTTAAATCGTGAATAAGAAAACATGTATTTTATTTCGCGAAGAAGATATGAGTTTCGTTGTTATAAATTGATATCGTTTGTTGCTCCCTACTTAATTCAATATCAATATACGTAAATACAAATTTAAAAAAATGCGTTGTTTAGGTTTTATTTCACTTCTCACCAGCGTCTAAGAATTTGTATTTGTAGAATGCACAGAGTTATTGATTGAACTTAGGCCACCCCATTTTTGCATCTGATTTGAAATTTAGAGACAAATGTTAAATGGAAAAGCTGTAGATACTAACGTCTAGTTTATTGTAAGATAATACGAATTTATACAGGGTATATGGGTATATTATTCAGTATATATTGCAACTAAAAACTTTTTTATTGTAAGTTTGTTGTCGGTTGTCCCGTTTCACACAAGTCTATATTAATTTGTCTTGAAATATTAGCACAATTAACTATTTTATAATTGAATCACCATGTTTGTAGTTTTGACAAATTTACAATTATCCATGGTATATTTTATGAAAAAATCCGCTGGACATACATTTAAATATGTATATTTCCCGAACATTTCTTTTGAACATACTAGGGATAATCATCTGCACATATACAAAATATGTACGTACTTAGCATATAATTTTTATGAATTTTAATGAATGGAATATAAATATATTCTACGAAGATTCATTTAAGGAATGTTCACTCAGTTATATTCCCAGGATATCCCCGTAATGTTCTGAATATTTTTTTAACATTCTGGGATATTCTTCGAATGCCAAATGCTATCTGGGCAAAACATAGGTATTTCATTTAAAAAATATCATCTAATAATATCTGCAAATTTCCTATTTAAGATTTATCTCTACATGTATGAAAAATCTCTAAATATTAAATATCAAATTAGATGTCAAATCGGGGTAGGCAAAGTTCAATTAATATTGGTTAACTCCAAAACAGTTAAAAGCCAATATAGAATATCTACGTCCAATGGGCTTATAATTTTGTGAATAGTGCTACTACGCAATAAAAAGTACGACGTTCCATTTTACAAAAATGTAAGTATAGCCTGCACTTATTAGTATCAACTGATAATTAGCCCTGTGCTATATCACTCACGTTAAATTTAACGTACATGTTATCCGTCAAATACGTTATGTGGTACTCCAACGGTGTGTTGTATCAGTAAAACCATTGTATTATAACAGGCGCACGCTATCGACGAACGTTTTATTAAGAAATAGCTCTTCGGAATAACAGCATTAAATCACATGCCGCTATCGAACTTAACGTGCGTCCCTCGAAGTTAAGCTCGGAGGAATAAACAAAACACTTGTGATTAATAAGAGCGTAGTTTTCTGTTTTAGTTATAATTTACTATGAATTTAAAACAAAAATTGTCTTTTGGTGTTCTTATAAGATTAGCTTTATTAGAACAATTAGTAAATGGTCTTGAAAATAAATTTTATTTTCCTCTACAAACTCTACTGAATTTTCAAATTGTTTGGGGGTTGTTTTTTGCCTCTTCTGTACATGCTCCATTCAAAGTGTTTGATAAGATAGGTCAAGAACAATAACGAACGAAATTGAAAGTGAACGCAAATCATAAACAAAGACAAGTATAGTAGTAGGTGGGCCAAATGGTCAACACGTGCACATGTAGTACATATGTTTTAGAAGCTTCTATGGTTTGATGTTAACCTTCTCTCTAACTAATAGACTATTCGTTTAAGGGCATCTCACTTTATGCATCCAATATTTTTTTCCTTTTTAACGTTTAATGGATAACTGGGTCGGAAGCGTAATAACTGTGCTGCTGCGTCATCGAAAATGTTATCCTGAACTGTTGGGTCGCCATAACGTGCGGCCGTTAAAAATAGTATTTATGATACAGCACAGGGCTGATTATCTTAAAATAATTGAGACGAAAAATCTACAACTTTGGTGCATTAATGTTTTTGCCCAAATTTGAAAGTTTATGTTAAAACGTGGTGGTCAAAATTCAATCAATATTGGTTATTATGTCAAAAACAGTTAAAAATCTATAAAAAGATTTATACCGAATAGGCCTAGAATTTTACGCGCAGTTCGAACATGCAATTAAAAGTACGACATTCCATTAAAAAACGCAATTTTTGTCCGCCACGTGTATTGCTACACGCTGTACCAATTGATATTATCTTAAAATAAAATATAGGTTAATATCGACAACTTTTGCTTTTAACATTTTTTCGAAAATTTTAAATTAGATGTAAAAAGGGGTGGCCAAATTTGAATCAATAACCTTTACCAATCAATCAATAACACATACCGTATATCAGCCTCTTTTCGACAACCCACGTGCACAAATTCAATTTAGCAAGTCTTCTAACCACAATACCCGATCACAGTAAACCATAGATAAAGACTGATAGTAAACTACCTGGGTTGAGCGGCGGCTACGCGTAGGCCATTCCATAAACTGCGCATGCACTACCCTCGCAACCCCTGTCATACGAGAGGCCAATTTCCCGACCCGGTACCTCCCACCACCGTACATTTTTTGAACGTTGACGTGACAATAGTGACATTCGAGACTTGTTCGTTGAATTTTTCGCGCCGTTTTACTTACACCAGCTGATGCGATCAACATTTGCCCAAAACCATGGCCAGAAGCGCCATTCGCACGTGCATACTAACAGCACAGCTTACATATCATGACATACGCTGTGCTAACAGTTCTTATTTGTGTGGTAATTGTATCGCGAATTAGTTTTTTAATACCTATGCATGCAGATATTGTGAAAAGACTTTGTTAAAGACCACCAATAAAATATTGTTGAGAAGTTGATAAACTTGGGGATAATTATATCTAAGATACAGTAGAATATTATAGGAGATACTGATAGGACAAACATTAATATAAAATCGCGATTCTTTTCTACAAAAAGAGGAAATTGGCCAGCGTAGGGCCGCTGGGTGTCTTCGTGAAGGTTTTTGTAGTCCTGCCTCCGGACGAATAGGCAAAAAAGTTTTCCGTATCTTGATATTAAAAAGTACATTTTTGATTCCCAATGGAAATAAAGCTTTTTTTTTCGAAAACCGCTCATATTGATGAGTTTGCTGGTCTGATGTGTTTTCCTTTCCTTATATAGTTTATATAATTAACATTATATAGTTTGCAAAAATCAAAGTTTGTAGTAAATGGCGAATGTACTATCACAGAGTTTATGGTAATGTTCAAACAGTAATATTTTAATGAAAACTAAGAAAAATTGTATCTTACCTAACCAAAAGTAACTCTGAGATAGTTTTTGGGGAAATACAATTTTTCTGAGTGAAAAGCGATGTTTAAAAAAACACCAATAAGAAAATGTGTTTTCCGATATGGTGCGAACTTAAGTTGCCCACTGTATCTAAGAATTTAGCTAAATAGATACGCTTAGCATTTAGCACACACATAAATAGATACACTCAGCTTATTCCTTGCCAATGCAATAAATTCTATGTAGGAGAAACATCAAGACCATTACACAAAAGACTCAAAGAACACCAACCATACATAAAAAACAGAGAATATCATAAATCACATATTTGTCAACATGCATTTGATAATTGTCACAAAATTCAATGGAATAATTCTACAATTTTAGCAAAAGAACAATCCACAAAAAAACCTAAAATTAAAGAAAGCGCACTAATTTTACTAAATCAAAATAATTGTGTTGCTTCATGTTCATTTAATTAAAGTCATACATGGTTACCTATGGTAAAATCTGAAGTAGACCAGAGAAACATACACCCAAATTAAATTTACACCAAAATCATTAATTAACATTACCTTTATTAATTTAAATAATGAGATTAAGTCAAAGTCACATAACTGACAATTTGCACAGACGAATTATCAGAGCGAATTTT